AGAGAGGCAAAAATCTAATAAATGTGAATATTAGAGTAATTGTCTTTGGTTCTACTTTTAATCATTTTTGTGTAATTCTGAGTCAAATGGTTTCTTATGATGCCATTGCTTTAGTGTTTTAAAAAGTTGAAGGGTGGAAAATAAATCCGTGTTATGTTAGAGAGTGATTTCAGGTGTTTGATATCCTGAAATAGCTTTTGTAGTATGCCTAGATATTACAGCCAGTAACATAATGGTCTGATTGTCCTGATGTATATGCACTTGGTCATGCCTACTTATCTAAAGAATTAGGCAACAGTTTCCACTATTGATTGTGTTATATAAAAATATTAATGATTCTATATTTAATGAAGTAAAACCTTCTACACTGAGTTTTAGCTGTAAGATACAGGTTAACTTTTATTTGCTTCAAACTCTGTACAATTAATGGTAGTTGAAGTGATTCTCAAAGGATATTCGGACACACATAATAAGCCGGGCATGGTGGTGCATGTCTGTAGTCCCAGCTACTCGGGAGGCTGAGACAGAAGGATCACTTGAGCCCAGGAGTTTGAGGTTGCTGTGAGCTAAGCTGACGCCATAGCACTCTAGCCCGGGCACCAAAAGTGAGACTCTGTCTAAAAAAAAAAAAAAAAAAAATTAAGAAAAGGGACTTACCAGAAAACTCAGGTGAGAAAGATAAAAATTTCTCTCTCTTTCTCTCTCTCTCTCCTCTCTCTCTCTCTCCTCTCTCTCTCTCTATATTATATATATATATATATATATATATATATATATATCTGCTATAGACAGAATAAAAGAGATAAGCAGGGAGGGAGAGATAAAAATTTCTCTCAGGCCCAGCACACCTGTAATCCTAGCTCTCTGGGAGGCTGAAGCAGAGGATTGCTCGAGGTCAGGAGTTCAAACCAGCCCGAGCAAGAGCAAGACCCCATCTCTACTATAAATAGAAAGAAATTAATTGGCCAAGTAATATATATAGAAAGAAAAATTAGCCAGGCATGGTGGCGCATGCCTGTAGTCCCAGCTACTTGGGAGGCTGAGGCAGGAGGATTGCTTGAGCCCAGGAGGTTGAGGTTGCCGTGAGCTAGGCTGACGCCATGGCACTCACTCTAGCCTGGGCAACAAAGTGAGACTCTGTCTCAAAAAATTAAATGAATGCATGAATGAATGAATGAATGAATGAATGAATAAATGTATGTTAAAGAAAAAAAAAAGGATATTCGAGGAAAGACTATTGCTATGTAAAGCTCTTCAACAAAACTTTACAGAGGCAGTTTTGCAAGTGTTTATCCCCTACAATTATTTTTGTCTCTGTTCTCCAAGGCACATCACAAGAAACTAAATAAAATCTTCATTCTTTAACCATTTACTCAAGATAAATATATTGAGTAAGTGCCAATTTGTAAAACTACTATATCATGACTGTTAAGGAAATATTTTCAGTTTATTTTTCTGATTGCATTTACCTGTTGTTAAAAGGCATATGTTTTGTTTCTGTTTTTATTTGAACTACCATTTTACCTTTCAGAGTATCTCAGACTTCTGATTATAAACTGGTTATATTATAACCTAGGAGTAGCTTAATTTATGAAGGCTATGAAAGGGTAACAATAGTCACATTATTGGCACATGGTTCCTATTATAGGAAGTAATCTGGTTAAGATAAATGTTATTTTGAGTAATATTTAGGACAATTCTCAGTGTTAGGCAAACTTGGGTGTGCCCTCACCAGTGACATAGTCGGGAAAAATTTTAAAAGGGAGAGTTCAGATACAAGACAATATAGAAAGGTGCCCAGACATATCTCAGAGCAGTGTTAGCATGCTGATTACACAATTTGGATTGCAAACCCAGAAACACCCTTCAACTTAAACCCACTTAGCAATTGTGATTTTTATAGGCATGGCTAGTTTCATTCTAGTGGGTTCTTGAGACTATTCACTCCCGGATTTATCCTTGTTTTAGCTTTTATTATATTAATGAAGGATTTGCAGGTTCTTGAAGGTTAGTCTTCAAATTACCAAATAAATATCAGGTAAGGATTGTCCTGTAATCTTTTTTTTTTTTTTGAGACAAGAGTTTCACTCCGTTGTCCCGGTCAGAGTGCCGTGGCGTCAGCCTAGCTCACAGCAACCTCAAACTCCTGGGCTCAAGCAATCCTCCTGCCTCAGCCTCCCAAGTAGCTGGGACTATAGGCATGTGCCACCATGCCTGGCCAAGTTTTTCTATATATATTAGTTGGCCTATTAATTTCTTTCTATTTATAGTAGAGACGGGGTCTCGCTCTTGCTCAGGCTGGTTTCGAACTCCTGACCTCGAGCAATCCGCCCGCCTCGGCCTCCCAGAGTGCTAGGATTACAGGCGTGAGCCACCTCGCCCGGCCAATCTTTTAATTATAATAAATGAAAAACAAAAATCTAAGTTGAGCTCATAGGGAACTACACAAAAGACTTGTTTTCTATTCATTTCAAATATTGTAGGGTGTTCAGAAGAAGAATCCTGGCTTGACTACAGAATACACAAACATCATGTAGGTACAGCTCAGAAGGCAAGGAAGTATATAGTACAGGAGTTAATTCTTTTTTAAGAAAATGTCATTTATATTTTATTTTCTAAAACCATACCTGGTCTACCTGAGTTATCTAGGATGTTTTTCTATTTCCATTCATAGGACACATCCCTGGCAATTCCAGATATCCTTTTTCTTTTAGAAAAAGAAAGTTCAAATTACAGAGTATTGAGAAGCAAGAACATAGATTCTCAAAACATCAAGACTATATCTCTAACCTTTCTCTTTTGGCAGTAGTGTGATATATGTGGCCACTTGTGAACTTTGACATTTTTTTTTAACCTTATATATTAAGATATGAGATTCTCAACTTTTCTGGCCCAGCATGCCTGAGAGATACAAGGTATTCACATTAGTGACAGTAGCTGGGAATCAGAATCTTGAGCCAGGGGTGTTTGTTAGGTTTAGTGAGAAAAATAGATGATGTGATAATTCCTCTCCTCCTTTTCTTCTAGAGTCAGTAGGGTAGATCTAGGTAATGACTAAGGTTCCTCCAGTTCTAAAATTCTATTATTCTTTCTCTACTCTTCTTTTCATGCCACCTACATACCTGCTTCTCTATAAATATAGGGCCCAATTTTCCCTGAGAAAGAGAGATCTACTACATCAACTTACTATAGACTATTACTCTTACTTTTTAAGTATATGCATGAGCAACCAATATTCTTTATTTAGATGGAAAGTAATATGAATTTAAAGTAAAAGCTGGGAATTCACTTGCTGGTATGTTGGGAAAAATATCCTAGAATAGAAAAAATATGGAATTTCTCTTTTGCAAAACCAAATTAAGAAAGTCCTCTGAAAATAAATATTCAAATAGCATTTAAAACTTTAGTTGCAGAAAGCAGGTTTCTACCTTATTTCCTTCTTGATTAAAGTATGTAGAGTATATGCCAGTATACTTCAGAAACTACTATTTGATAAGTATTCTTGTTTCTTTCTTGGCTGCTTATTTTAAAGTCTTTGATTTAATTAAATACATATAAAACATATATATAGACCATGGAAAATATTTGAATTTTGTCTAAAACATCAGTAATGTGATATGAAAATATCTGATATTTATTATTGACAAAATCACAGGTACTTTATGTAGTTTTTTGCCTACATCATAATTGAAAAAAATAATAAACTTCAAGTAGAGGTTAGTAAAAAAATAAAGATGTAACTTTTTTCCCACTGTTCACAGATCCCCCTGGTCAAACATTATTTTCATTTCTCCAGATACAAGAAAGCCAGCTGTAATCCTCAGCATCTCAGGAGATTTAATCTTTAAAGAAAGTGCAGCTCAGGATCTTTTCCATATTTAGCCCTTAATGCTTTTCAAGCCTTTAAAATAAGCAACTGGTTGATTATTAAATGGTGATTGTCAATGTCTTTTGCATTAGGAACTTGGCTTATTGCCACTAATTTTATTTTACATTACTGAACAATAGATATTTACAAAAGCCAGTTTAGTCATTTTGCCTTAAAGTCAAATCAGAACATATCTATTAGTAGTAATGAATGCTTTATTTATATCTTGACTTTGAGCTGCTATGACTATATGTTTCCTTGTCATTAAAGAGGAAATGTAACTCATGTCATAAACCCTGAATCATTCTTTTACTTTAGGGAACTATTGCTTGGTCAAATTTGTGTGATTATTATTTTTATTTACTTTTTTATTGTAAAACATATATAACAAAATTCATCAATTTAACCATTTTTAAGTATATAATTCAGTGGCATTAATTACATTCACAGTGTTGTACATCCATTATCACTGTCTATTTCCAGAATTTCTCATCACCCCAAACAGAAACTGTGTACTCATTAAGCAATAATACCCCATATTCCCACTCCACCCTGTAATCAATAATGTACTTTCTGTTTCCATAAATTTGCCTTTTCTTAGTATTTCATATAAATGGAATCATATGACATTTGTCCTTTTGTGTCTGGTTTATTTCCCTTAGCATAATGTTCTCTCAAAGTTAATCCATGTTGTCACATGTATCAGAATTTCATTCCTTTTTATAGCCGAGTTCCATTGTATGTACATACCACATTTTGTTTATTCATCTGTAGGAGTACACTGGGGTTGTTTCTCCCTTTCGGCTATTGTGAATAATTCTGCTATAAACTTTGTGGTACAGATGTTTGTTGGAGTCCCTGTTTTCTTTTGGGTGTGTACCTTGATGTGGAATTGCTGGGTCACATGGTAATTCTGTGTTTAACTTTTTGAGGAATGTGATCTTTTTTTAATAATAGTTCATTCTATTTTTTACTATCCTTTCATTAATGTTTCTTAAGTTTTTTTTGTTTTTGTTTTATTTATTTATTTATTTTTGCTTATTTCCTTAGTTGACTTTTGTTGCTGATTTTAAGGAAATTATTTGTTTTGATCATTCATTTTTTCTTTTCTTTTCAATTGTTTGTTTTTCAGACCCGAATCAGAACTCCATCACAGGGGAACACAGCCAGCTGTTAGGTATAGTATTACCATGGGGATTAACTTTCTCCAAGTCACTCTTTACCCATTTATACTAACAGACATTACTCCCTTCTCTAATTCTATTTTCTATCTTTTCCATTTCTTTTCACCTCTCAACATTTTGTCTGCTGTTTTTATTCTCAACTTGGTAAGTTGTAGGAAACTACTTCTGTAATTGATTGCTAAGACTCACTTTAGTTACATTAAAAAGTAATTTTATGTGGTCTGTGATTAAAAAAGAAAAATCTACTCTGGGAGCCCGAGGTCGGTGGATTGTTGGAGCTCAGGAGTTTGAGACCAGCCTGAGCAAGAGTGAAACCCCATCTATACTAAAAACAGAAAGAAATTAGCTGGACAACTAAAATATATAGAAAAAATTAGCCAGGCATGGTGGCTCATGCCTGTAGTCCCAGCTACTTGGGAGGCTGAGGCAGTAGGATTGCTTGAGCCCAGGAGTTTGAGGTTGCTGTGAGCTAGGCTGAAGCCATGGCACTGTAGCCCAGGCAATAGAGTGAGACTTTCTCAAAAAGAAAAAAGAAAAATCTAAAAATTAGGGCCAGGCACGGTGGCTTATGCCTATAATCTCAGCATTTTGGGTGGCCAAGATGGGAGGATCACTTGAGACCAGGAGTTTGAGACCAGCCTGGGCAATATAGCAAGACCCCATCTCTATAAAAAGACAAAACAATAAAATAAAAATAAGAATTAGAACTTCATTTTTCTGAGATAATTTTGAAGATATTATAATACTCTAAGATCTTGGACTTTGAAGCTACTTTCCCCTTTTTTATATTTTTCTTGGTCTTTTGATTACCATTTTAATTACTAAAAGTACTTCATAAACAGTACGGCCTTAAGTCATCCATAAAAATTGATGTTCTAGTTCCTTAGCAGTGAAACAGGTTCTGGAAATGAATTGATTTTCCCTAGGTATCACTTATTTAAATTTCAGTAAGCTTGTAATTTGACAAGAGTTTCACAATATCTCAGAAGTGATAAATTTTAAAAATATAAAACTAAAACATACTCTAGTAAGGGATTCAGACAATACAATAGGTATATATAAAGAAAGTAAAAGTCCTTTGAAGTATCTCTTCTCCCTACCAACTCACTTCTACTCTCCCAAAGTACCAGGTGTTGACAATTTATAATTTATTGTGAATTCCAGAAATTTTTAATTATAAATTTTTTCATTTTATATATGATTTTTTTTTGTTTTGTTTTTTTTTTTTTGAGACAGAGTCTCACTTTGTTGCCCAGGCTAGAGTGTTGTGATGTCAGCCCTAGCTCACAGCATCCTCAAACTCCTGGGCTCAAGCGATCCTCCTGCCTCAGCCTCCCAAGTACCTGGGACTACAGGCATGTGCCACCATGCCCGGCTCATTTTTTCTACATATTTTTAGTTGGCCAATTAATTTCTTTCTATTTTTTTTTTAGTAGAGTCGGGGTCTGGCTCTTGCTCAGGCTGGTTTCGAACTTCTGACCTTGAGCAATCCACTTGTCTCAGCCTCCCAGAGTACTAGGATTAGAGGCGTGAGCCACCGTGCCCAGCCTGTATATGATTTTTTATATCAATGGGGTTATAGTATATGGACTGTTCTCTTGAATGGACCCTTTTTTCACTTAACCTTTTATCTTGGACATCTCATATCAGTACATAAAAATCTATCTCGTTCCTTTGATTGTGGCAAAATAGTATTCTTTCGTGCTCCTACACTGTAAATTTACTCAGCCAAGTTCCCTGTTCATGAGCATTTAAGTTATATCCAGGTGTATTTGTGTTTAGATTATGTTGCAATGAACATCTTGTACTTATATCCTTCCATTCTCATTGCCAGTGTATCTGTAGGGTAATTCCTAACAGTGGAATTCTTTATTCAAAGGGTATGTATATTTTCAAAAAAAATATATCAACTTAAACTCTTATGAATAAGAGGTATGGAGGAATGCTTGCCATGCTTGGCTCCCTGCCACTGAAACTAGGTATGATCAGTTGTAAAATTTTTTCTTTATCTAATACATGAAAATGGCATCTCTAGTTTTTATTTATACTACTTTAATTTGAGTAGGATTAAGTACTTTTAAATATATTAGCCATTTGTGTGTGTGTGTGTGTCTTTTGATTTGAGTCTTATTTTTGATTGTACACTGCTGAACTCTTAGCTGTCTGAATATGCACAAAGCAGCTGTAAGCTATCAAATCCAAAGTAGGGAAAGTACTTGATATGACTTGTTTACTTATAAAAGATTTAGAGCAAGGCCAGGTGCGGTGGCTCACGCCTGTAATCCTAGCACTCTGGGAGGCTGAGGTGGGTAGATGGCTCAAGGTCAGAAGTTCGAAACCAGCCTGAGCAAGAGTGAGACCACGTCTCTACTAAAAAGTAGAAAGAAATTAGCTGGACAACTAAAAATATATAGAAAAAATTAGCCGGACATGGTGGCGCGTGCCTGTAGTCTCAGCTACCTGGGAGGCTGAGGCAGGAGGATTGCTTGAGCCCAGGAGTTTGAGGTTGCTGTGAGCTAGGCTGATGCCACAGCACTCTAGCCTGGGCAACAAAGTGAGACTCTGTTTCAAAAAAAAGGAAGAAGAAGAAGAAAAATAAAAGATTCAGAGTATTAGTTGAAGAAATTAGAATACTCCATTTTTGTCCTTTCTATTTTAAGGACTTGGAGTACTCCTTGAGTTAATGAGAAGAGTTAATGCAATCTTAATTTTTATTCCTGAGTGAATTTATATGTCGAAACAGTACCTAACACCCTAGGCACTCAATAAATATTTATTAAGTAAATGGTTTGACATAAACATAGAAATCTGATCACCAAGGTCTTGGGCTTTTGATACTAAAGCTGTTTTCTTTTCTATTCGCTATTCTCTCTTTTATATTGGATAGTTTATTTACACTGCTCAAAGTTAGTCTTCTCTATATAAAAATTTTATATTTGGATTGGGAATTGCTAAGATTTCATTGAACAGATCATGAGGAGAATATCTTTCCCCAAAAATTATTATTATTATTATTTTTTTTTTTTGAGACAGAGTCTCGGTTTGTTGTCCAGGCTAGAGTGAGTGCCGTGGCGTCAGCCTAGCTCACAGCAACCTCAAACTCCTGGGCTCGAGCGATCCTTCTGCCTCAGCCTCCCGAGTAGCTGGGACTACAGGCATGCGCCACCATGCCCGGCTATCCCCAAAAATTATTAAATGGCTTTTGTCCCTGATACATATATGGCTGGCAGAAAAGTTTGAGAGTAGTTCATTATCTGACCAGGAACACATATACAATGGAGGTAGGGAAGGACATAGCTAATGAAATGGACAGTTGGGAGTTGGTACAGTTCCAGTATTACTAAGCTAGATTTTGTTTTCAGTTAAGCACCTATAGTAAAAAATAACAGGAGAGTTGGAGGCAGGAAGAAATAGTTTTGTGAAGGAAGGGCTCTCTTAGTCATTATTAGCCAAAAATCCTAATAGTATTTGCAAAAAGACTACTCCAGACATTAAGCTCATTTGGCAACCTACAATTGCATTCAGTTTTTAACAGACTTGTGGATTTATCCAGAGTCTTCTGATCAGACTCTCAGATAAGTCCATCCTGTTACCCTAGATTCTCTTGTAGGTTCAGTAGGTCAGATTATTATATTTTCTTCTTTTCTCATGCTCTGAAGAACTATCTTCTGTTTCCTACCATAAGTAACTTTGTTTTAGCTATAGCCTTAAAATCTTTAGAAGGCTGGTTTATTAAATGAACTCTGAGTTTGCAAAAGAGTGAAAGATGATTTTTTATTATATTTTCTAACAATCTTATAGTTCTTCAGAAAAGGCATTGGTAGTTTGAATTAAAATCTTCCCATTTCTCTCTAAAAACTTTGTTTAGGATAATTTGGCCTAGTAGGTAAAAAACTGGTTCAATTGCCTGCTGAATCAAATTTATAATAGCATCTTTCAAACCTTTCCTGCTGACTTAGATTTATAATAATAGCATCTTGCAAACATTCTATATGTTTTTTCTGTCAACAGAGTACAGTTATTTTAATGTATCTACTGTTCCCACTGACTCATCAGGTCTTTTGCAAAACTCAGAGTCAGGCTGAGGGGATATATGGGAGGGTGAAACTGCTATTGTGATAATGAATAAAGCTGTGCACTCATGCTTTATGAACTTTTCCCTGTGTGTGTATGTGTATAATTTTCAATTTAAAAATTTTAGAAATCAAGCAATCAAGCAGTGAGTCCTGGCATTTTTATAAGAAGTTTTGCCAAACATTCAAAGAAAAATAATTCCAGTTTTCTATGGTCTCTCAAGGAATAGAAAACCACGTAACCACTACCTAACTTAGTTTGAGGCTATTATAACGTTGGTACCAAAACTTAACAATGATAATATGAGATGAGAAAAATACAAGCCAGTCTTACTTATGAATACATATATAGTCCTAAACAACATATTTATAATCTGAATCAAGCAATATATTTTTAAAAATTACCCCAATCACCAAGTGTGTTTCTGCAAGAAATATATGGTTAGTTTAATATTGAAAATCAGTTTACATAGTTTACTATATTAACTAATAGATTAAAGGAGAAACATTATATAATCATCTTAATAGATGTAGAAAAAGCATTTGCGTTTTGTTTGTTTGTTTGTTTTGAGACAGAGTCTTACTCTGTTGCCTGTGCTAGAGTGCTGTGGTGTCAGCCTAGCTCACAGCAACCTCAAACTCCTGGGCTCAAGGAATCCTCTGCCTCAGCCTCCCGAGTAGCTGGGACTACAGGCATGCACCACCACGCTTGGCTAATTTTTTCTATATATTTTTAGTTGTCCAGCTAATTTCTTTCTATTTTTTAGTAGAGACAGGATCTCACTCTTGCTCAGGCTGGTCTTGAACTCCTGACCTCGAACAATCCTCCCGCCTTGGCCTCCCAGAGTGCTAGGATTACAGGCATGAGCCACCATGCCCGGCTTAGAAAAAGCATTTGATTTGAGACATACCCAATATTT